ATGGCCCTCTCCACTTCCTCATCCCCTTCCCAATCTCGCCAGTTGTCAAAGTCCACGGAGAGCCAGGCTGGCTGTGGGCACAGAGAGCATCCCTTGAGCAGGGGGAGCAGCACCACAGGGACCTGCAGCCCAGGGGCAGCTCCTGCACAGGCAAGGCGCTTTGTCAGACTGGGCAGGGGCAGGAAGCAGCAATGTCCCTTTGCCTGCAGGCACTGGTCGTGATCCTGAGTGTGTCAAGGAAAAGGGTGCCACAGCCTTCCTGGAGGGCAGAAGTCTGTGGGCTAGTGGTGATTATCAGGTAGGGCTTTTTAGGAACTCTGTCTTGGGATCTCCTCTGGAAACCTCTGTGTCTGTCCTGGGGGCAGGTTGGATCCCAGGAGCCGCGAGGGGCTGACTGGGGACAGCACATGCACTGAGGCACCAGGCTCCACACACACCTTGATGTTCTCCTTGGTGATGCGCGGCCAGGCCACTTTCTCCTTCCACTTCCTCATAAAGCACGTGATGGAGCGGTCAGAGCGCTTCTCCCGTGAGTCCTGCCAAGACATCAGGGCTGCCTCAGTGTCTGCCAGGCTCCTCTCTGCACAGGGTTAACACTCAGCCCTGTGCAGGCTGTCCCAGAAGCACAGAGCCAGGTTGTTTCTATGAGTATTAGCCCCAGGGCTGGGGTTCTCAGGCTCAGCCCTTGACACTCTCAGGATGGGCAGTATTCAGTGGTAAGCAGTGTTGCTCAAGACTGCACAGATTGGCTCCGACTCTGAGCCTGCCAGCCTGCCAGAGAACAGTTTGTTGGCGGGAAACCTCACCTTGGAGTTGACTCTGGCGTACAGGTTGATCTCGTTGTAGAACTCCACACCATCGGCATTTTTACAACTGCCAAAACATTGTAAAAACCGGCCTTAGGAGAGAGCTGAGGCTGTGCTCCCACAGAGCCCTCCCGCTCCTCTGAGCCACCCTAGAGCAGGGCCGGCAGGGCAGGGCAGCTCACCTGAACACCAGCCGGTGGTCCTCGATGACCACCTTCACGTCCGTGCTGTCCTCCACGCAGAACTCCAGGTACACGTACCGCGGCCGGTCGTACCACAGCGTCTTTGCGGGTTGCCTTGGGGAAGAGCAGAGCAGCGGCCATCACCAGCGGGCATCGCCACCGGGCATCACCAGCGGGCATCGCCAGCGGGCATCGCCAGCGGGCATCACCAGCGGGCATCGCCACCGGGCATTTCCCGGTGCCAGCAGAGCTCAGCAGGGCCCGCGCGGGGCAGCGGTCCCGGACACGGGCTGTGCCTGGGCCGAGCCCCGGGACGGGCAGAGGGAGCCGGGCGGGTGCCGACCGGGCGCGGGTAGCGCACACCGGCCCCGGGACTCCTGCCGCTGCCGTCCCACACGCCCCTGGCCGGGCGGTCGGCGGTGCCCGGCCGCCCTGTGTCCGCTCCCTCTGCCCGGCCCGGCGCCGCTCCCCGCTGCTCCAGGTCGCAGGCTCCTATCGGGCAGTGCCTCTACCGGGCACCGTGCTTGGGTTCCGTGCGCTGCCCGTCCCGTCCGGTCGCGCTCACCTCGCCATGGCGGTGCCGACCCCGCCCCGCGCTATTTCGGGCGGGGGGCGCGGCTGCGGGGCGCGGGGAGC